AACAGTAGCCTGAACTCTGATTTCAAACAGGCTTTTCTACCAGCTGGGTCAGAAGTAAAGTTTCCATTTTTGCCATGAGGATTTTCTCTCCTGTTCTGTCCCTTGCAGGTAACCCGGTGCATAGTGGAGGTCCTGTCCAACGCTCTGTCTAAGCCCAATGCACCCCCCATTAATCCTGAATGCAAAGAAATCCTGAAGAAGAGTAAGTACAACGTGATCTGAACTTAGGAAAGGAATTCGGTGCATCTCTCATTTTCTCTCTGGTGCTGGAGCTGGTGAACTGTTACCTCAGCCTGTGTGATTTCAGTGCCAGAATTCTGGTTTCCTTCTGTTCAGTCTGTCTTGCTGAGGGAACAAACAGCCTGACCTGGAAATTGTCAGGGATTCTTGGCCAACACTTGTGGCCCTCTCCTTGAGCCACCTGGAGGGTCTGAGAGGACTTGATAAACTCTTTAGGTAACCTGAGAAGATGAAGCATAACTATTGCAAATCATCAGATTTCTTTGATACTTTTTCAGTCAATTAAAAAAAAAAAAAAGCTTTTAAAATTTGATAAAAAATCTCTGGTGTTCTTGGGTAGCTTGGAATAGATGGTTGTATTTAATTGTGAATAATCATCTGTGATGGGCCAGGTCTGTCATTCAAAGAACTGAACACAACCCCAGATCCCACTGATTTTTAATGGGAATGAGAGCTAGCTTGATTGAATACTAAAAATGCGACCACAAAAAAAGCCAAAGAAGGAAAATTATTCTGGAAATTCCAGGGTAACCTGTAAAATGCCTAATTAAGTGGTGTTAATTAGTTACTCTTTTTCCAGGCAGCCATACAAAATAGTAGCAAACAAATGATTTTAAAATCAGAATTAAGAAATCAATTCTGTCTGAATTTCCATGATGCTTTGGGAAGCCAAGTCATCTCTTTGAAATCACTTCAGGGGAGGGTTGGATTGCTCCATGATGCTTCTTTTGTTACTGTAGGTGATAAAGATGACAGAGAGAGGAGTGAAAACATACAGCCTGAAGCGAGGCATCCCAAAGACCCAGCAGAGACCGAAAAACATCCTGCTGGGAGTGTGGAGAAAGAGCAAAGGCAGGCAGAAGAGGAATCCAAAATGTACATGGAAGGAGGTGATGAGGAGAAACTCGCTCGTGAGGAAGGTAAAAGCAAGGAAGAGGAGGCTGGGCACCACACACCTGCTCAGGACGAGACACTTCACAGGGAAGAAAAGAAGCACTACCAGGAAATGGGGAGAGAGGAGGAGAGGAATTACCACAGTGAGGAGGAGAGCAAAGAGGGCAAGTGTTGTGAAGATGTAGAGGCTGCTGTTCTCACCAAGAAGTCTCACTCTGAGGGCATGAGCATGGATGAGCTCCGTGGTGGGAATGATCAGAGCCCCAGGGGCCACTGGCACCTGGAGGAGGGAGTGCAGAGCCCTTACAAACAAATTCGGGAAGGTGAAGAGGGAGAGGAAGAAAGGAGTGAGAAATACCACCGTGAGTCTCAGGAACGTGGTTTCTCTCACCAGCAGGAGCGTGAAGAATCTGAGGAGAGTGAAGAAAGAGAGGAGAGGAAGGAGCCCTACAAACCCAAAGGTTATCATGGGAAGCACAGAGCGGGTGACTCCTATGAAGAGAAGAGGGGCCGTGGTGGTGAGAGGGGGGAACCAGCGGGGGGATCACACCCAGGGGAGGCCAATCTCTGGGGGCAGTGGAAGCACCGTCAGAAACATCAGGAAGAGTCTGAGGAGAAGGGTGGCTCTGCTGGGAGCCGTGGGCCTGAGGAGCTGCAGGAGGAGAGGCCTGCAGGGCAGGGCAGCGAGGAGCACAGGGACAGCTGGCAGCAGAGCCAGGAGAGCAGGGAAGAGGAAAACAAGAGGCACCACCACAGTGAGGAGAGCGAAGAGAAGTGGCGTGAGGAGAGGAGACACCACGACGGATCACACCGTTCTGAGGGGAGGATGTACCTTGCTGATGAAAATGAGGAAGGGCTGGACAGGATTCTCAGCAAGGAGAAGCAGCGTCGTGTCGGAGGGAGACCGCGCTTCCGGAGCAGGGAAGAGGAAGGGTCACAGAAGGCCCATGCTCGGGAGCACCAGGGGCAGGCCAGGAGGCACTACAGCACTGAGGACAGCCTGGAGGAGGAGGAGGTGGTGGAAAAGAAGCATCACAGCAGTGACCAGGTGGAAAATGAAGAGGAGGAAAGATTTGCAGAGAGGGAAGAATACAGAGGCCATCTCCCTGCAGAGAAAGAGAAGAGAACTGCAGCATCCTACAGGCCTTTCTACCCACTGCTGTGGTGGAAAAGCCAGCACTTGGACAAAAGGGACGGTGCAGGGGAGCAGCTTCTGGAGGGCAGGGAGGAAGGCAGGCCCACCCTGAGTGAGAAGAGCCTTTTCCCTGAATACAATGACTATGAGTGGTGGTCAGAAAAGCAGATCCAGAGTGCTCTGAACCACAGGCGCACCGAGAAGAGGAATCCTGGCAAAACAAACGGATACGGTGTGGAAAGGCAGTACAACAAGATGGATCAACTTGCACAGCTTCTGAACTACAGGAAGAAGTCAGCTGAACTCCCAGAACTGTACAGCTCTGGAGAAGACCTGAAGAAACGTCACGTAGCTGGGAATGACAGAAGGAGCCTAAGCCAGAGGCCCCTGACGGAAGAGGAGGTAAGTGCACGGCAGTTCCTCTGAAAAGCTGGGGGGAGCACATTTCCAAATCCATTCCCAAGGTAGCTGGGAAACTGTACACAGAAAAACACAACAAGATGAAGTCACATTTTGAGAGATCTTCAGTGATTTAAAAATCTGCTTTCTTTGTGGAACTTTGAGTTTGCTGAACTACCACAGGGCACAGTTCATGGGATAAAGACACAGCTCCTATCTGCTGCAAGGCAGGAAGGGAAAGGTTTTATTCTTCTTTGGGCCCTGCCTCTCCCTGGAGGCTGTACAAACTGACAAAACAAAGGTGCCATTGCAGCAGGAGCAGAGGGGGAGCTGACAAGCACCACTTGTGCTGTGAGGCTGTTTAAAATACAGAGCTGAAAAGTGAGTTGGGTGTTTAGAGGGAAATCAGCTGCCCATGAACTTCCCAGCTGGAATTGCAGAACAGAACCTGCATTGCACCTGTAAGTCCAGTTCATATGTGCAGTTCACACATAGTGAATCCTCTTTTTTTGTTGTTGGACTTCCTGTTCTGCTCCAGCATCCAGGAAAACCGAGCCCACACCCATCAGTTAGCTCCCATCAGCCAGAGCTCCTCGTGTGTGTCACAGTTCTGCACAGCAAAGAGCTGTGCTGGGAGCAGTGCAGGCTGGGCACTGATTTATGCAGATGTTAATTGGTGGTGACGAGTCATCATGGTAAAGAATTGGCTGCATAAAGCTTCTGCTGCTCTGTGCCCTTGCTGCACACTGTGCTTGCTGTGGGAGCTCGCAGGGACAGCACCTGCACCTGTGACATGGCAGGAGGCCACCACTGCTAATGGTGCTTGAAATCTACAAAGGCGAGGCTCTAATTGGAGCCAGCTCTCAGAATTTAAAATTTTGATGCTTTCCCCAGCCTCAGTTCAATCCAAAGCAGGGAATTTCACCGATCTCCCAGGTATTTGCTGCACTCCTGTTTACACCTGCTCTGCTCAGGGACTGGGCAGGGGCAGGACAGACTGCCTCAGAAATGGCTTTTCCTCTCCTTTCCATAGAACAAAACATTTGCCAGTGCTAACAATGATGGGTAAAATGCTCTCTGTTTTCACAGGAAAAGCAGCTGGAAAACTTGGCCACCATGGATCTGGAGCTGCAGAACATAGCAGAGAAGATCAACAGCCTCAGGAGAGGCTGAAGGTGTCCTCGTGCTGCCCGTGTTCTGTGGTAAATTTACTGCCACTGGATTGTTGTTTGCCCTAAACCCAGGAAATTCTATTCACTGTCCACTCTCGTGTAGTGATTTACACAGCTGAAAGTGTCTTTAATTTGCTGTTATGCTCCTGAGACCTGAATGGCATGAATTTTAGTAATATAACCTTTCATGTGGGCAGGTATTTTTAATATGCTTTTGGAGATAATTGTGTTAGTGTTCTTCAGGAATATATTTGTCTGAGTTTGCAATAATAAAAACCATTGATCTTGGACCAAACCTTCTCTTTGTTCATGTGGCTGATGGGGTGAGCTGGATCAGGTGTGCAGATTGTGCACAAAATAGGGGTCCTCCACCACTGTCTTTTCAAAGTTACAAGGAGCTCATCTGTGTGCATTTTGTTTGCAATAGAGGGAAGAAGGAATTTGAAATCTCAATAATGATTTATTTCTTGTTTCCTTACTTATTTTTACTGCATTGATCAAGGATTATGGCACGTTTGAAAAGTGGGATGCAGAGTGGAGACTGTGTCAGTGTCACTGCTGGTGAAATGGAACCACTTTGGCTTTGATCCACATTAACTCCTCATGTGTTCCAACACTGTTCCTTTCTCAAGCTGGTCTATTACACAAACATGATTTTCCCATGTTGTTGTTTTTATTGTCACAGTATCTAGGATCAGCAGCCATCTAGAATGCAGAGATGGTGGAATCTACATCCTCTTTTATGGGTTGTTCACATAAGGAGAAGAGAGAAGAGAAACTTCCCAAAAAGTAGGAAAACAACACTGTGAAGTTTACAAGAAGCAGAGGTAGATAAAACCAGATGTAGTGTACCTGTTCTCCCAAGAGAAACCTTTAACTGCTTCTATGAAATACAACCCCTATTTTGAGCTAATGCTGCCCTGGAAGAACATGACTGTTCTCAAAATACTGAATTTTACAGCTTTATCAAATCTCAGCACTTCATCCCAAAGCTCCAGGTTCTGCCCAGTCAGTCCAGACACTGATGAGGGAGTTCCAGAATGGAAGCCAAGCCCTCCTGGCCCTATGAGCTCCTACTGGAGCAGAATATTGTCCTCCTAAAGTCTATGCTGGACCTTCTTATTTCCAAAAAGAGGGAAAAGTAAGAAAAAGAAGATCAATCTCTTTAGGGAAAATACCCTGTAGTTTAATTTAAATGGCAAATGCAAAGTTAAAAAAAATTAATAAAAAAAGCCCAACATCTGAAAGATCCAACAGTAGAATAAATAAATATACATACAGCAGTTTTCAAAATAGTAATATCTTAAAAACATACAGCAACTCTCAGAAAATGTCTTGGAAAATGACAGACAATACTAATAGTGACATTTTTTAAATATTTAGTATTTTAATTTAAGAACATGCACTTTCTCCTCTGTATATATTTCAGGAAAACATGGAGTCATGCTGTAAGCATGGGGTCATCTTTACTATTAGATTTGTCTTTTTATTGTTCCTTTGGAGAAAAACATGTATGATTTTTGCTGTTCATTCTACTTTTTTAAATTACTGGAGAGAGCCGAGTTCTGTGTCCAAAGGGGGAGCAGATCACCACCTGGAATCCTGAGGAGAATCCTCCGATGCCTTTCTGGGAGAATGGAAAGCTAAGCCTGCTTACAAACAAACAGAATGCCTGCACTGAGGCTTTGTCTTCTCTTCATCTTCTCTCCTTCTTGAAGTTCCTGTGAGTTCAGTGGGATGTTTGCTCCCAAGGGTTTTCCTTGACATTCAGGTGATGTGAAGTGCTAAGGAGCAGGACAGTCCTCCCTCCCCTGCAGTTCTGCTGCTTTCTCTGACAGATGCATGACAGGCACAGCCCTGTGCTGCCAACAGCACAGAAAGGACTTGTTATTTCATTAAACTCCTGAGATCTAAACCACAAGTCAGTTCTCTAAATGTTAACAAGGAAGGTCTTGCAGTCTGCATCTTTTAGATGATGGCTCCTCCATTTTCAGTGCTTCTGAGTTACTGGAATCAGCTTTGCCCTTCTCCAAGATGACAGTGATGCCAGACAGGAGGTACCCCCCACCTCCGCTCATGGTCAGCTTGGGATGGCTGCGATCCGGCAAAACCTTTAAAACAAACAAACAAACAACAACAAAACACACCCCTGTAAAAATCAGCACCTGTAAAAATCCATTGTGTGTGTGCACATCGTGCTGTGTAATCTCAGTTTACAGGATAGGATGGATGTACACTTTTTTCCCAGCCACAACACCAAGCAGCCATTTGGGAAGTGTATTTCTCTTTAAAGTATCTGCAGAGAAGAATCCAATTGTAGAAATCCATAATAATACAGGCTGCTGCCTCACTGGTTACTTCTTCATGGCATTGCCAGCAAAACTACAAAGCCGAGCTCTGAGACCCATGAAAGTGGCACAATGTACTCAGAAGTGAGGTACTCTGCAGGAAACCACAGCTGCTGCACAAACCAGCCTGAAGGGTTTCTGTGATTTCCAGTTCTGTCCCTATCACGTTTCTGCAGCCACCCTCAGGGTCAGACACAGCAGTGAGCCTCCCTTTCAGCCACATCACACCTTTTTGTAAGGACTGTCCCTTCAGCTGTGCCCTGACTGTCCCTGCAGGTCCCAGAGGTTTTACTTGTGTCCAGGACACCGCAGTGCTGTTCTCACTGCAGCTGGACACAGGAGCCCTGGCCAGGCCTACCTTGTGTGGACATCTTGGAATTATTAACCCTGGCACTTGCCTACAAATCTTTCAGTAAATGTTTAATAAAATGCAAGAAAGTCTTTCCACTGGAGATCGCTACAGTGAAGCATTAAAGCTCTTCAGAATACCCACTACTCTTGGGTACAGCAAATGCCTGAGCTCTCCAACCTCCCCCCTGTTTTCAGGGAATGTTTTGCTCCCCAGAATTCCCATGGTTTTGGCAGCCCCGTACTGCCATCCTTACCTGGTAGTTCCGTAGCCAGGTTTCAGATAGTTTCAGGTTGATGACTCCACCTCTTTCTCTCAGCTTGGTGTAACACTCTAATAATGGCTTAGAAAAACCAAAGAGGAGGTTACACAGCAGAATGGCACCAGGCTTGAACTGTAACAGCAGAAGTAACATCCTGATTTACCTCTTTATATTGGCAGTAGACAACAAAAGGCCTCGAAGGAGCAACAAATTCCAATAAAGAAAGTAACAGGGGTGTGGGATGAAACTTGCTGGCTACAATTAAGCTGCAAAATAAAGTTTCACGCACATTAGTTTTCTGCTTCTGAACCCTACTCACCCAGTGGCATTTCCTCCTACTTAGCACAGCAATCAATTACAGCTGAGAAGTGTCTCATCAGCACATTTTCATTGCTCTGACAACTCCCCAAATGTAAAAACAAATCATGACTTCCTACTGGTGTAATTGAGAGGCTGAAACATTGTTCCCCGAAGTGCAGAATATTAAATGCATTGCAGGAGCGCTCACTTCAGCTGTGCCCGGCTCCACAATAATTGTTACAATCGAAGAATTTCATGTTGCTTGCTCTGCCTCAAGACCTTTTTCCAAATACAATTTAAGTTTTGTGACAGCCACATGTTGCTTAGAATGTAACCTCAGTCGTGACTCTTTAGACTGAGCTCTCTTTATTAAATAGTTTTATATAAAAAGAATATTTGAAGAGAGAACAAACCCTTAACAGACGTGACTACAATCTTTTAAAAAGAAAACATGTCCTTGACAACCTAAAGGCTTCATATTTTATTCTCCATCCTAACATCACACGATAACTGGGATCGACAGATGGTTGAGATTTTTTACTGCTATCTCCAGTTTTAGTCCAAAGAAATCACTACTGAACTACACTGCAAGAAGTGGTTGATAATTAGTTAATTAGTTATTAAGTTGTGCTTCTGCAGAAAGAACTGGCTAATTAAACTCCTTCTTCACAGTGTACAGAGACTACAGAGATGCCACATCAATTAACATTCGTTCTCCAGGGGAATGTGCAGCACTCGAGCAGAGTTAAACTTGCCTGGCAAAAGGGACGTAAAAATTGATGCTCAATTTTGTAAATACAACAGAGATTAGGAGGCGAGATAATTCTTTTTCAATTGTTCCCACTTTGGTTGTTTGCCAGCCATGACCTTGCAGACCATTTACTTCAAATGCAAACCTCAAAAGAATTGTGCTCCATAATGAACCAAGCAGGCTCATCCCGTGCCTTGGAAGGCCTGGAATGCTGCACTGGCACTGCCAGGGGCTCTGCCAGACTCCGGGAAGGGAAGTGAGGGCTGAGAGACTGAGGAAAATCAAACGCTGCTCTTTCATATGGCAGCACAGATTGCTGCCAGCAGGGAGCCTGGCCAGACACAAAAGTGATGCAGCGGGTGAGGGGGGAACAGGAAGAGGTAGAGGAAGGGCAGGGAAGGGCAGAGGGTCTAATTCTGAACACATGGCATGTCTGTGAACAAATTTCTGCTTCCATACTGCCGGGAAAATGGAATAGTCTGTCTCTAAAGTCTTCATTAGGAGAATACCAAAGACCCAATGAATATCTTCCTTTTTCCCCTCAGTGACCTAACATCAGACCTCAACTCACATAAAAGGAATTGAACAGATTCAGTACAAACAATGTTTTACCACACAACAGCACAGAAGGTAGAAATTTAACTGAAATGGTATCTTCTACATTCAGTAATAAATACTGTTAAATTCAGCACCTCAAGATTTCTCCTAAAGTTGGTTCCCACCTTCACCTAATGAACAGCTTTTCTTTACTTTGCCAGTAAGTCCCAGTCTTTTTCCCCACCTCCAGTGTTAACCATCTTTTTCCCTATCCTTTCCCTGTTTCTCTCCTACAAAAAATCTCCAAACCCTTATTTTCCATGGCTGTTTCTACTCAGGTGCAGAGTTGCTAATTTGAAGCATTTCCTTATTCCATGCCAAGCTCCTGATCTCAAGGAGCAGTGGCTATGAAAGGCAGATGACTCAAGAAAGGGGATCAGGGCTGAGCCCTCTGGGACAGTGCTCTCAGGCACCATAAATTCTGTTTTCCCCCATCCTGCTGGAGCCTTCCTAAATCCAGGAATCACACATCCCTTCAGGAGTGTCATTTGTTACAGCTTTCATGCATTACAGAGAGCAAAAGGAGGATAAAAGTGATTGAAAACAAGTAGGAGACAAATACTAAACAACTGAATGTACTATTTTACACGGAAGGAAGTGGCAAGTGAAGTCAAATATTAATTTTGCCTTTGCCAGATCATGGACAGGCATTAATTACAGTGATGGTGCAGCAAACAGCAGCGAAACCAGGCTCAAACACTGCCACTGTTCAGGCAGCTCAATGGTCACAGCTCAGGCACTGCCAGACAGATGTGCTGAGCTTTTTTACAAACCTCCTTGACCATTTTAGCGCTTCAGAGAACACAGAATGACCTGGTTCTGCATGGTTATAAATTCTACCACTTAAATATGCTACATGAGGTATATGAATGAGCATGAGTTAAAATATTTTATAGCAATAAAACCCAAAAATTATACACAAACATTTAAAAATAACCAATAAATGTGCAGTAAATTTTTTTCCAAGCAGAACAGCTTCATTTCCAGTGAACCAATATTCCTTGGAGGAAAAAAATTAATATGGATGCTATTAAATTAACTAAATTAATGTCACCTGGTTAACTTGAATCACTTCAGCATTTGCTGAGAACACAGTGAAAAAGTCACACCCACCAAATGCTCTTACACTATTTTGGAGCTCAATTTCTAGGAATATATTTATTGTATTTGTCTTAAATGCATCATATTAAATCTTTGTGCTAAATTGTTTCTCAGGAATAACTGATCCTGTTTTACCTGCAGGTAAAATAAAGTTATGTGGTTTTTATCCTGTGTAAAAAGGAAATTAGTTTCTATGAACAAACTAACCAAAAAGAAACCCCAGAACAACAAATTTAGTTCCACTTTAATGAATTTAAAGCCTCAGGTTTGCCAATTAGAATCCCATGATTTTTTTGGCAGTCATTTTGAATTAGATTTTACCTGGATTATGGTTTTCTTTGGATAGTTTTTTTTTTACTATTTTTTTTGTATTTAGTTGACTTTTAGATAATTTCAAGCCATTTAAATGAAAGAAAAAATCTCAATCAGTCCCTTTTGTGCCCCCAGTTCTCTGCTCCATCCCATTGCCCCCATGGTCTGGGGTATTTCAGTGGGAGGACTAAATTGAGAACACCATTCCCAAACTGTGACAGCTCTAAGCAGACTCACCCATCAGCATTCTTCTCACTCAGCAAAGCAGCAGCTTCTTTCAGCTTTTTCCTTCTCTCCCACTGTTTCATTTGCTTTTCCCGAACCTTTGAACAGCAAAACAAACAGTTAGCACTTTAACTGGTAATTAATTATTGAATCATTATTGCCTGGACTGCATTTTCACTTTTTGAATCTTAATGTAAGACAAAAGACAACTGTCAGGGCTCCACTTTAACACCTGACTAAGCTGCATTTCAGCAGGGCTGGTTCGGACAGCAGAATTTTATGTCCACAGATGTTGTGAAACTTGAACAGCCACAATAAATATTCTTACATTTTCTTTATTTTCTTTTTCTTTGTTCTCTTTAAATTCTACATCTTCAGCATTAATGTCCATTGTGTCTTGCTCTTCTGCTGGATTGATCTCCATAGGTGCTTCAGGAGCAGGTTCCTCCTCTGTTTCCTGCAGGGAAGTCTGTTTCTCCTCACTCAATCCATTGCTTTCCTCTTCCACCAGTGTGTTCTCCTCAGGGTCTGAAGGCAGAGTCTCTGTAGTGAATGTCCCAGACAGGAGACTCTCCACTTTGCTGAGAGGAAATTCATGAAGATTGTCAAAAAAAGGTTTGGGAAATCCAAAACAACTGGTGGCAGCTCTAACAGGCCCCCCTCCTGGGTACATCTGAATGATGGATCCATAGCCTGTGGGAGGGAAAGAATTAAAACACGTTGGAAAGCCAGAATTCTTACAATTTTACAATTCTTTCTAAAATGCTTAAATTAAGGGTCCATTTTAAAAAAAAGGAAGTAAATTGCCTGCTTTAAATCAAACCATCAAATTTAGGAAGCTGTGGAAATATGCCTCAAGGTAGAAAACCTTTCTTGAAAGAACTTGCTACTGAAATGCAAAAGGACAAGGTAACTCAAGGAATATTTGTGTATTAAACATGTATTTAGGATTAGCTCAGAACATATAAGCAGTGACAAATTTCTATAAAAAGTTAATTTAGTAAGTAAGTAAAAGACAAAATTTCTACAGTTTCTGTTACTTATTTATGGAGTTACTTGGATAAAACCCAAAAGCTAATTTCAAGAGCTTTATTAGGCAAAGAATTTCCTCAATATCCAGGCCCCAAAGGAAGAGCTGTGAGATGTTAAACACACAAAAACCAACTTTCCGATAGTTAACTGAAATTGTATCTTATTTACTCAAGAAGTAGCCCTATGGCCAAAAGTTGCTGAAACAAAAACTAATCTGTAGGAGCACTGTGTGCTTCCAAGACAACATGGACAGCACATCTGTGTGCACATCACATCACTTCCTGGCTTCTGGAATGTAATTGTCACCTCTACCTGGTGTCTTAGAATAATGAAACTGATTAACTGAGTTTGAAAAACAAATCAGGAGTCAAACTTCTCCTAAAATGTGCTCAAGGAATGTCACATACATTCAAAACACGTTTTGCACACCACACAATCTAATCTGGTGCAGTGAATAAGAGGAACAGCAACATTTCCAGTGCTGTCAGAAATGCAGTGGCACTACTGTGTCTGTCATTCACCTTCCTGGACTTCCTGGTGTCTGGGAAGAATCTCCATACAAGCTCCTTACAGCTTTTTCTGAACTCAATGTCATTATACTAAGAGAGGAACTAAAACAGATCTGCATATAAGACTATCAATTTAATAAAAAATAACTATAGAAACAATTATATCAAATTTAATTCTCAATTTTTAACTTTTTTTTTTTAAGTACTGAAAAATAAACCAAACTGATGCAGAAACTTTCCCCAGTGGAAAAACAAGTTTCTCCTTGAATCCTGGAGGTGGTAAGACCAGATTTCAATAGCTGAGGAAGCATTTTGGAGTGCTGCCTTTCAGCAGTGTCACACAGGTGTGCATTTCCATGCCCCTTGGTGTGTGCATGAGCGAGTGTAGCTCACCCCCCATTCTCTCCATCACAGCCCCCAGCACCAGGCCTGCACACGTTTCCATGACAATCATCTTGTTGCCAGCGTGGATGTTTCCCAAAGTCAGCATCTGAGCCAGGGTGTCGTATCTCAGGTGGCTGGAAGACAAGAGGGATTTAACAAACATCAGTTTGCTTAGAGATACTGCCTACTAGCCCAGGAGCCTGCCAAAAAAGATTGGATTTCACGTAGACGCAGAAAAAGCATCAGTGCCCTTCAGAGTCACCACACAGAAACTTTTAATTAAACATCTGATAATGAAGAACTAGAACGGGACCTAAACAAGAAAGCAGCCAGGAAAAGCAAAAGCAGGATATGCAGTAGGGTGCACATATTAAAGTGGACATCTTGTGCTGTGCCAGTCAGAGAAAGTATTTTTTTAACCTTTTGTTTGTTTTTTCTCTGGCATGTCAGCTTTGTAAAGCACAAATGGTATGGATGCATTTCCTGATCCAATAATGAACCTTGTGGTTTTTATCTATTTTGCAGGAGCCAGCACCACCTACAACCCAGGACCACAATCCAATGCACTCACTGAACAGACTCCATGATAGCTACACTAATTACAACTAATCTTTAATAGCAAAAAGCAGCCAAATGACAGAGATGGTATAAAGAGAAAGGTTTGAGAAGCCTTAAATGACATATATTTGAAGATTTTAAATCCTAGCATCTTAGAGCTACTATTCCTGCATTTAAAAAAAAAAAAAAGTATCAGTCCACCTTTAATATCTGTTACAATGTATCTCTTAGGTTAGGTGAGTGAAAATCAAACCAGGCCAGATCTCTGTAGTCACGACCCTTCTGACTCCTACCCCAATCTTACCCACAGGTTTTTAAACCCTGGAGACTCCTGACTGAAGGATTTTGAATCCCTGACACGTTAAAGACAACAATTCTTGCCCGTGGTAAGTGACTGGTTATCTTGTTACTGAGCCAGAAAACAGATGTTTGGCCACCAGCCAAAGCAGATAAGAGGTAACTTTGAAAATCAAAGAACTTCTGTCTGCGTGGGTAATTAGCAAGGTGGTGCTGATAGGGAAATGGAAAATTCTGGTGCTGCATGCTAAAGAGTTCTCCTGTTTGCTGCAATATTGATTAATTTTCTGGATCACATTATCATTCATTAAATTGCAATCTTCGTGTTGACAAGAAAGAAAAGAGGAGAGGTGAGTATTATACACTTTGGTATAGTGTAGGTGTTGAAAAAGTATTAAAGTATCTTTCTCTTATTGTTTGGAAAAAGAAACAAAATGAAAACTCACTTAATTTTTCCAGGTTCCCTTGCATAATACATGGTTGAAAGGATGCGAGTGGATGGTTTCACAATTGTAATAACCGCCTCATATCTGTAAAAAAAACATGGTAATGGTCTTATTTTAATCTCAACAATTTAGGGAATTACCAAGTATTTTTCACATTTTAAAATTCACTTACTTTTTTTTCTTCTTCTTTATGTATTTATCTTGAGCAAATTCTGTTTTGTCTCTGAATGTTGTACTGTTCTCTATTAACTGTTGAACTATTTCCTTGGAAGAAACAATTCATTTTTGTTACAGCTAGCATTTATTTCTCATTCATTTCATAGACAGTATTTTTTTAAAATAGCATTGAAAATATTTCCTTCCAGTAGAGACATGTATACCATTAATTTCTCCTGACACCAATGGCAATGTCAATCTCTGTTAACTAACAGGATCAGTGAGGCATTACACCGACTATGTGTAGGAATTTAACCATAGTTTTGCATAAAAATCATAGAAATGAAAATGTTTATCCTGAACTATTCAGTAATACTTCATTTAACCAACTCCCTCTTTGGGTCTCTCTGATTCCAGCATCTCTGAGGGTATCTTTTTTTCCCTGTTTCATGTAGTTCCTCCCCTCTGCTCTGGTTAATCACCAGACATCTCCCTCACTCCAATAATTTTTTCAGTCTCACAAATTTTTCCACACTACTGTACCAACTCCTTGCACAATGTCCAGCTCCTTAGCATTTATTACTTCCTGCAATATTCCTCCTGATTGTTTCCTTCTCTAGCTCCCAGGTCTTCCCAGGTTTCCATGTTTGGTTTCTTAGGTGTCCTTATTCTAATGTCCCCCCTTTGCCAACCCAACTCTTTCTCATGCTTTCAGATTCCAGCTGGAGGGATCATTAGGACCTCCAGCAAAACCAACCCAACCCAACAGGACTCTCCTTGCTCGGGGTTTGTCTCCTTGTTCCAACACAAGAACAAAAAAGCTGCTGTTTTGGGTTCTGTGATCCAAGTAGCTTAACTGCTAAAATTATGGATTCTATTAAACATGGACGGGACTAGTGAAAAAAGAAGTATTTTCAATTTGGACACTGCAGCTCCCCTTGTGCTTTAAAAACCTGCTCAAAAAATAGTGGTGCAAGTACTCCTCACTTCCTTTTGCTGCTTTTCAGGCCCTTATTCCTTCAAACACTTAACACGTGTTATTAATGATTTGAAACAGAAGGGATAGCATCTATTGCTGCTAATGTCGCTTAAAATGAATATTCAGTTACAGTCCAAACAGCAGAGTTAATAAAAGCACAGGAGATGCACTGCACAGGCATGCTGAGAACACACAGGAAAGTCAGAGCGATCTTCTGCCATGGACAGTGAAAACAAAAACTATCAAAGCTGTCAGCCTAATTAACACATTCTTCTCCAAGAGAAAACACAACCAGCAGCACAACCATGGAAACAGAAAAAGCATTCCAAACTGCTTGGACCCAGCAGGCAAAAGCAGAAAAACTGCTCCAAAGAGCAAGATGCCACCAGGAGATGATCTTGCTGTAAGCATAAGCAATTTCCTGTGTTTATTAGAAAGGGTAAACCAAAGACAAGAGAGGATTTTGCCTGACAGCATCTGCAGAACAGAACTGGCTGCAATGCTTTAGTAACAATTTAAGATGGCTTAAAAATCTCTTACTTTATGAAAGGTGCAGGCTTAAATACCAACCCCTTTTCTAACAGAACAGAACTGAGCTCTTGGGAGTACTCTTAGTTTTCCAGGTACAGATAAAGCAGCAGCATCACCCCTGTCTGGCAGGCACTGCCCACAGGCACGCTGGTGGCACATTTGTTAAACAGTGTTATATGTTAAGACTTTGTTGTTTGGCCATAATCTTTTCCTACGCCTTTGAGAGTTTAATTATTGCACAATTTTAATACCTCTGTAGTACAGAAATAGTATTTTGAACCTTATACACAAGCAAAACCAAATGGTGATTATATGAGCTGTACTTTTTTATCTGTTATGACTTCTGATGCCATTTATTCTTTCCTCTGACAAAGTTGCCAACCTTACATAAAGCTTTCTCTGAAAACAGGCTTAGCATTTTTGTAAAGCCAAAAAACATGACTTGACCAGAAGAACAAAGAAAAAGCACTGAAATCTATGCACAGATAAAAAGAATATCCTTTTTCAGAAACTAAAATATAACCATCAAGGTAGCACAGAAATGACACCAAAACCTTATTTTTACCTGTCCTTTAATACCCTTGTCCTTCAAAGCCTTTATGTCATCATGAGTCAGTTTTTGAGACTTCCCATCGTCAACTATGTTACGATTATCTGTCCCTGCTTCCTTTGTTTCTAAAGGAAAAGGATATAGATTTGTAAAATCTAGCTCCAAATAAGTGGGAGAAACACACAATTTTAGTGTCACAGAAAGCAGATCTCTCGTGATTAAATACACATTTTTCATGGCCTTGCAAAGTACAGCATAAGCACAGAAATGTAATACATGAGGTAAAACTTAATGTAAATAAAATCACCCAGACTAAGGTTCAAATTTTCTCCCACGTTAAAAAGATTAGGGACTAATGAAACCAATGATGGAGACAAAACCATGCACTTTTAGACAGAAAGAAGTATAAGTAGCATGAAGTTAACAAATTATTAATAGAAAGCTTTCCCAATTTCTTTGGTATCATCAAAGAAACAAATGAATTTGAAATAATTTTTCCAACTGTCAGTCCTCTGGGATACCTGTGGTAGTCTCTTCCACCTCTTGCTTTGGCTGGAGGTTCCCACCACTGGTTACTTCAAAGGTAGTTCCATAAATATGTCCGATGGCATTATCCAGGTAGAACCACTGCTTCTCAAAAATTATTTTTCTGAAATGACAGAAAAGTGAGTAATACTTAAAGCATTATTTTTGCTGTATCTGAAACCCGCTATATTTGAGTCTAAAGTACAGCTTTATATATGACATTTTCCTCTATATCCCCCAAAAAAAGCAGGACAAGCACAGTGAAATTAACCACAAAACCCACATTAAACTGAAACTGGTGAGGAAAAGGACAAAGAACTTAAATAGACCATACAGGAGGAACTTCTTTTTTCAGTTCAAAAGAATTTTCGAATGACAGATAAAACAAGGCTATGGCACTTGCCAGCATCATTTTTTGACAGAGAAAGTCAGAAATGTATTAAATCCAAGCTGGGTCATACAGAGTAGTAGCAAAAAGATGAGCATGGTCCTGTATTTTGTAAAGCTCCTCTGAAATAACATTTGCCAAAAGACTATGAATAAAGCAGAAGCAGAGTGTGTCTTGTAATCTGGAAATGTTTCATTAAAAAAAAAAAAATTAATTTACCACCCCTTTAATTTTGATTGCACCAAGGCAGGTGCGCATTTTTTCTTTCTTCATGAAAACCAGGATCCACAAAGCCTTTAGCTTTCAGGCTGACCAACAAAGGCTGCCTTGCTATCCCTGGAAACACTAATCTTGGCAAATGAAACAGGAATCAGGATTGATTCCTAAAACTATGCCACACTAATGTTCAAATCTAAATTTGCCAATATGAGCCCTAATTATGCAAATTTTACTCATCACTAATTCTGAACTACACCCTTTTCAAACCAGTCTCATTCAAGCATAGTACCTTTAAATCTCCATACTATTAAATCAGATATCTGGGCTATGTTACCTGACACTGACTTCTACACACTGGTCTACAAAATTCTCTGCTGCCAGGGGATGAGCCCAGGCTGTGTCCAACGACTTTAGCATTCCCTGCTGGGCTGCGGGCGCTTTCTTGCTATGCCAGTTGGCCTGGGAGAAAGAAATGGGAGACCTTTCATGGCACCCCCTCCAAAGCGGAGTGCCAGCATCCTCCTACACACTGACGCCGCTGAGCACGCTCGGGGCAATTAACAATCCCTATTAGCATCTCACAGAAATTGCGTGCCACGGCGAGCTGAGCGTCACTGCGACCACTCGCTGTTCAGGCTCCTCTTCAATCAGCACCAGTTTGACACCGACAACGCAAAACCCCCTTAAATCTCTCTCAAACTCTTATCAGAAATGCGGCCAGGAGACCTTCCGGGTTTAAGGGTTTTTTTGCCATAGGAACCGAGGCAACATTAAAACCTTTCCCGCCGCCTGTCACACGAGCCTCACGAGGCCGCTACTGCTGCCCGGCGCGGCGGGACAGGGACCGGCAGCGAGACCCCCTTCCCTCCGCCGGGGCCCACCACAGCCGCACCGAGGGTGGCGGGGGCGGAGGGCGCGAAGCTCGGCCGAA